GCACCACAACTACATGGTCGTAAAACTTGCATTATTTGGTCAAGCCGCAGAATGAGGCACCTTATAAATAAATTAGGGTCACCAAGCCAGAATTTCACTAATCCCCCTTTCCCCTGCCTCAGCCTCCCGCCTCAACAACGTCTTCCTCACCCTTTTGTTATTAATTACACTGCTTAAGGCGCCATTGTGAGCAAAGCCAAAGTCCTGACTGTGACCGCAGCTGCACGTGCTGCCTGCCTTCCTGGCAAGGACACGTATAACACAATAGGTGCCAGCCGCCAGGTGCTCAAAAGGAAATCAAGGCACAGACGAGGTGGATGCGGTTCGCAATTAGCTGCGCAAACAGTCGGCGACTTTAAGGTTTCTCGTTCTCTTGGAACTCAAGCGAAGCCAACTGTTTAAATACGCATATTTCAGCCCGGCCAGTTAATTAATTAACACTTTGTACCGTTACCTTTTACAATTTTAAAAAATATTTTCTACCTTTCACCTTTGCTTTCGCTTGCTTTTTGGTTGTTTTCCTTTATATGTTTCATGCAATTTATTCTCAACTTTATTATTTATTTATGAAAACTTTTTGTGGGGTTTCTTTGAGACGGCAATTGAAAGAGGTATATGAGCTATATGAGTGGGTGTGTGGATGTGAGTGTGCGTGGGCGTGGGCGTGTGGCCAGCACGTTAACCCTTGGTGTATTTCTTTGTAAGGCCTACATGATTTATAAGCGTTCGTTGGACGAACGAGGTGAACTCAATGATTCATGATATCTCCAAGATGAATATTTCATTCAGAATTTAGCAAACAGAGACCCTAATAGTAATAAATTAGATAACAGCAGCACAAAAGATATGTAATGCGATGCCTGTAAGGCAATTTTGAAAGAAAGTAAATGCATTAACATATTACAAATTTGTAAATTGTATTTTTGATTTGACTTCATTATAGGGTTCGCCATATAATGTACCCATTACAATTTTCTCATTTTACATTCACGTAGAAGATTCAACCATATCTCAGTACTCTTTCATTATAACTTAATCGATAGTCTTCTTGATCGATAAATATTTCATATTATTAAGCTCAGTAACATTGTTTCGTATAAATCTTATCGCTGTTATAAATATTTTATGAGTATGGGTGGATGAAAATTACGCATTGGTCAATGATAAAAGATTATACTAATCGAAATCGCGTCCCTCAATCATTGTGAAATCATTGCGATATCATCTATATTAATCGAGAACCAATATTATCAATCAATCAATAATATTTAATAAATAAATAATAATATAATATTTATATTTAATAATATTTAATAAATAAATACACATTTCTGCTATGTTAATTTCACGAATAATAATTCAATTAAATTAAAATTATATTAAAATATTAAAATTTTTTATAATTACAATTTAATAGATCTCTTCTTGTCTTCTACATAACTTTAAAAACATCTTTGCCAACTAAATTAATCGGAGCCCTGCCCATCTATATATGCCCATAAAAATTACTATTATGGATACTTTGTTGATAAAAACTATATTCATCATTATTCTTATCTACATAATTTAGTCTAAAAACAGAATAATAATTATCAAAATTTAATTGCTTACTGCTTATCGATAAGCCCAGCCTGTGAACTTGACGTCAATTAATCCCGGTGGCAGCATTATGAGCCATCTAGATGAATTACACACCAGACGTAATCAATCAACTTATCAATCAATCAATCAATCAACCAGTTAACCGCCAGCTCATTTGGCCATAATTTGTTGGCCTAGTAGTTGGCGCAACCCTCGCACCCACACGCAATGCATTGTGAATAAATCTGGTCTAAACCAATCATGTCAAATTGATCAGCTCACAGACGGTGCTGTAAATCGATGTCAAGTCAAGTCAACCCCACGGCACCGCCACAGCTGCAACAAATTGTTGCGCAGTTGCTCTGGCAACCTGTCTCATGTGCTTTGGAGCCCTTTTCACTGACTTTGTCACATGCGGGATTATAATAAATGTGCGTGTGTGTGTGTGTGTGTGTGTGTGTGTGTGTACATATGACGATGCGATTTATGACAGTTGCCATAAATTTGCAATATCCAGCGGCTTTTGTGCTGTTTGCTTTTGGCTTGCGGCTTGTGGCTTGTGGCAGGGCTGTCGCTGCGTCTGTCTGTCTGTCTGGTTGGCTAGTTGGACGACTGCCTGCAGCAGCTGGCTTTATAAACAATTTTCGGGCCTTTATCACATACTTTCAGTTTTTTTTCTCTCTCTCTCTCTCAGATAAGAGCAGCGCACTATTTCCGGCCAAGCCGAGGGCAATCATAAATCGCCAGCTGCGTGGCTCTCGACTATATTGAAGTGAATGACTAAAATTAATTTTATCTAATCGATAAACAGGGGGCTTGTGTACCTCGGCCCAGCCACACGCAGTTCCTTTAATAATTTCAAAAAGCTCTCTCACAATTTCAACAACGCACAACTTTCTTCTTCTATGTATCAAAAATTAAAAATATTGATAAATTATAATTATACATGCATGTGTATATCGTGTATATTCTGAAACGGGAGTAAAACAGAAAAAAAAAACTGTTGCTCCCAGCGGCTAACACAATTACGGTAAATTATGTTCATTAGTCTAATGAAGTGTTTGTCACACAAAAGCAGCGCCCACAACCACAACGACCACGCCCACTTCACCGTTGACGCCCATCGCTGCCTGATGTGGACTTTGAAATGGGCGGGAAACAGCTGGAAGACCGTTATCAAGACTGGCGCCAATACCCTACACCATAGAGCAGGGATAATTAAGTTCGACTAGAACTTAAAAAACAAAAGCGATAATAATAATAATAATAATAATAATAATAATAATAATAATAATAATAATAATAAT